AGTGCCGAGGAACTTAGAGCTGAAGAACGGCAGAACAGCATCATACGATGGCAATCGCAGTGGGACGCCGCGACAGCAGGAAGATGGACACACCGTCTCATACCGAAAATCGACGTTTGGCTAAACCGGAGTCATGGTGAGGTCAATTACTATCTGACGCAGATGTTGTCAGGACATGGATGTTATCGGACGTATCTTCACCGCTTCAAGCATGATGATTCACCGGAGTGCCCGTCCTGCCCAGGAATCAATGAAGACGCGGAGCACCTTTTCTTTGAGTGCCCACGATTTTACCCACAGCGAGATGAGCTGGAGATAATCCTGAAGAAGAAAATCCAACCAGAGACAATAGTAGAAGCAATACTATCATCAGAGGCTGCCTGGAACGCCGCAAACACGTTTGCAACAGAAGTCCTTATAGACTTGCGTTCCATCGAAAGAAAAAGAGCAAATGACAACAACTAGAAGAAAGGTAAAATAATACCTTAGTTACCAGAAGGAAGAGCAGTCGCTATATCCTCCCCCCACGAAGTAATGCTCAACGGCGGTTTCCATGAGGGATTAGAGGAAAGAGGAAAGGGGTTTAGGGTTTAGTGGGTAGGGGCGCTAGCGTCGAGTTTTAGTATGACTTATTTTTAAGAATTTTAAGAGGTGAATGACTTAGGCACGTTCTCCACGGATACGACGAGCCAATTGGATGTCTTTGGGCATGATGGTGACACGTTTAGCGTGGATAGCGCAAAGGTTAGTATCTTCAAAAAGACCAACGAGGTAAGCTTCGCTAGCTTCCTGGAGGGCCAACACTGCAGAGCTCTGGAATCGTAGATCGGTCTTGAAGTCCTGAGCGATTTCACGGACGAGACGTTGGAATGGTAATTTACGGATCAACAACTCCGTACTCTTCTGGTAACGACGAATTTCACGAAGAGCCACGGTACCTGGACGGTAACGATGGGGCTTCTTGACTCCTCCAGTTGCTGGCGCGCTCTTACGAGCGGCTTTGGTAGCGAGTTGTTTACGTTTACTTTATCACCAGTAGATTTACGCGCAGTTTGCTTGGTACGTGCCATTACGACTTAATAAGAGCTAAGTTACACTTGTCAGTAGAAGAGACGGACTCAGAACAACTACGCCTAGAATCTGTAAAAAGGATTCCCCCCCCCCTAATGGGGAAACACACACACACACACTCGATTTTCGTAAAACGGGGTAAAAACAATAACTTCTCAATTTTTGAAAATTTCCAATTTTCTTAGCGGGAAGTTAAAAATTTAATTAAAAAATTCCACGTGTGAAAACTAATAATAATTACAAATGAAAATTTTTAGAAGCATTTTTTTATTGTAATTGATTTGTTGAAAAAATTTTTAAAATCGACAGCTGACGGCTAAGTTCAGTATTATAAAAATACGTATTTAACGCTTCAGACCTCATTATGCCTGAATATATTTAAATATTCAGGTATGATCGGTCATTGTCAGGTCTGAAGAGATCGATCATTGTCCGACATGAACATATATAAATAGGCCTGATCATGGCTAATTTCAGGTCTGATCATACATGAAAAAAGAAAAGTTAGGTAAAACCAAATGTGCATGCCTTAAGGACGGAAGCCTGGTTGGCTCACCGTCAACTTACGAAAAAGTGGCGCTCTTTTCGCCCACAAGTTAACTTGTGCACGAGTTCACTAGTGAACTTGTGCACTTGTGGAGGCGACGTGATAGTAGTAGAAACGCGCCTTTCGAAGGTGCCGCTTTTTTGGCATGCGTAAATTCAAAAATAACGTCTTATTTTGTTATTATTTACGTTACGTTACAACAGTGTAGAGATTAATATTGGAAATTTTAATTTATTAATTGCTATTACGGTAAAATATTTTCGCGTCGCCTCCACAAGTTCACAAGTGCAGAAGTTCACAATTGAACAAGTCCACTAGTGCACTTGTGAACTTGTGGAGGTGACGGGACAATATTAAAAGAGCGATTTTACAGCAATAGCAATTAATAAATTAAAATTTCCAAAATTAATATCTACACTGTTGTAGCGTAACGTTCACTAGTGGACTCGTGCACAAGTTAACTTACGGGCGAAAGGAACGCCACTTTTTCGTAAGTTGACGGTGAGCCAACCAGGCTTCCGTACTTAAGCGATCATGTCATACATGAAAAAAGAAAAGTTAGGTAAAACCAAATGTGCATGCCTTAAGCGATCATGTCATACGTATGTTATTTAAATTTTTTTAATTTCCCGCGTATTATTTATGACGTGAACAAAACGTCCTCTCGTGTTCGGTTATACCAACTACTTACAAGTCGATACGCATGCATACATTGGCTCGATCGCAGAGTCACTGTGAGAACTCTGTTTACTAAAAAATAAAACATGGCCGACCAAAATGGGAAAATTCGGTGTGAGTGCCAATCAAAATGGTTTAATTACAACTAAACGAAGAAATATCAAGCTTTGATATTGCATAGGGTTCTTCATTAGAGCTTAATGACATGGCTGAAAAAAAAATGAATCCTAAAATTGTATATATTTTTAGATTTCTTGACCACACCACCATATTCGGATAGTTATTTCCACTAAAGTTTTAAGAAAATTTTAAAAACGGGTTTTATCACTAAAATTGATAATTTATTTACTAAGCAGTGTTTTTAATTAGTTCAGTAATTATTCTTCTTGCCACCAGTGTATTTTTGTCAACATTTGTACGAGGATTGTGGATTAAAAATACAATTTCTCTTGACGAGATAGGAAACTTGATTTTTAGGCCCCAGTAGAGCTATGCCTTATAGCGCATTCGCGCTTAAGAGATGCAATATTCAGTATTATCTATAATATATTTATCAATTTTAAAGTTTTTTTTTGTCTTATAAATTTCAGGCATAAAACTTTCATTAAAAATTCAAACTTTTGCATACATTTTTATATTTTTCTTGTCGAAATTATGATCTTTCATCAATTCGTTTTTTGTAGTTGTAAGTTTCATATGATCTCTTCTTTTCCAATTATGTGATGATTTATTGTATCAACTGATGACTTAGAACTTTTTTCATTGATTCATCTTTTGAGTGCACGAGAATAAAGACCATTCGGCAGTCGAAATGGAAGTAGATTTCATCATAAATAGAAAAAAATAATGGATTTTTAGTAAACCGGCGATTAAAAGCTTATTTCACCCTAACTCCGTTATTTGTTTACTTACTGCTGGTGTACAGTAAAGAAAAAAACAAAAAAAACGACTGCAATAGCAAATTTCATAATTGGCATAGCGGAATAGGACATAATTTTGGGACTACACATATGATATGGTACTCAAATTGAAGTTTATTTAAAGAGCTTTCATATGCAATTTACAGAAATTCGATAAATTATCCCATTCAAAAGTTATTTAAGTACGAAAATGAAGAAATGGAAATTTTTATGATTTTTCATGATTTTGAAAATTTTGAAATCATGGCATTTCTAAATTACTCGACCGATTAAGCTCATCTTCGAACTTGACCTCGGTATCTATCTGTGGAATAAGTATGTTGAGTTTGATAAAGATCCATAGTAAATTGGCGACGCTATCGTGGTGACAAGCCGCGTTATATCGTATAGCTCAAATGGTAGAGTAGCCGACATGTCTTCGGAAGGTTCTGGGTTCGAATCCCAGTCCGAGCTATCTAATAATTTTTTCTCGCATATTCTATACACTCACATTAAGATGATCCTCTCCACAATCCTTTCTCAATCCTTTCCTACCAATTATCCTGTTACGTGAATGTTGGAACGCTTCACGTAATAATTATCCGTAACTCCTATTCTTTCCCGCTTCACAGCATTATTTATATTTGTTAAAAATGTGGAACGCTTCACGATTTTGCGTGATTCTTTCCCGCTTCACAGCATTATTTATATTTGTTAAAAATGCTAGCCGTAAGATAGACGGTGTGGCGTAATGTATATAGAATAAGTGAAAGGAAATTCAGTATAGACCGGATAGCTCAAATGGTAGAGTAACCGACATGTCTTCGGAAGGTTCTGGGTTCAAATCCCAGTCCGAGCTATCTAATAAAATTTTTTCTCACATATTCTATAAACTCACATTAAGAAGTTCCTCTCCACTTTTTTTTTTTTTTTTTTTTTTTTTTTAACAAATATAAATAATGCTGTGATGCGGGAAAGAATAGGAGTTACGGATATTTATTACGTGAAGCGTTCCAACATTCACGTAACAGGATAATTGTTAGGAAAGGATTGAGAAAGGATTGTTGAGAGGATCATCTTAATGTGAGTTTATAGAATATGTGAGGAAAAATTATTAGATAGCTCGGACTGGGATTTGAACCCAGAACCTTCCGAAGACATGTCGGCTACTCTACCATTTGAGCTATCCGGTCTATACTAAATTTCCTTTCACTTATTTTATATAGATTAAGCCACACCATCCATCTTACGGTTAGCATTTTTAACAAATATAAATAATGCTGTGAAGCGGGAAAGAATAGGAGTTACTTGAGTATATCTATATGTTTCGAACTTTTTAGTCTAATAACAGAGACTACATCCTATTAATCTCTTCTGACTATTTTTCCCTCTTCATCTTACCATATATGACTGCAGTCGTCTTACTTTTGACTGTATCTGCATTTATTTATGCTTCAGTTGAGCACAATAACTAAGAAAGAGCGCAGAAAATTCATTCAGTATAGCCGGCTTATTAAACAGACCTCGGAATTATTAAAGTTTTATTAGTATTAGTAAATCATCACAATATTAGACTTGCATTGTGATATAACTTCAACAGGTCACACTGATAGAAAAGTTAGCTTCACTCAAAGAGAAAAAATTTTATAATAAAGAAAACAATAAATTTCTTGAGTCGAGAAAAAAAATTCCTGAGCTAAGACAAAATTCTTGGTTTAAAAAAAAACTTTTTGACTCAAGAATTTTTTCTCTTGTCCCACGAAATTTATTGTTTTCCTGGTAGTAGTCTTGGTTAAAGAATTGTTGTTTTTAGTCAAGCTACCTTTTTTATCAGTGCGTATATTTTTTTTTTGCTTAACGGGCAGAAAGCGTCAACTTTCGGCCCGCTGCGCTAAACGAAATTGCCGCTTCCTGCCTTCGTCGAGCAAAAAAATAGTATACACTCCACGGGAAGTAAATACGAAAGCCTCAGATCACATGTTTGTTGACCTTGGCTTCACCTCGGCCAACAATTACATGTGATCTGAGACATTTCTTACTTTACTTCCCTAGGTGTGTAATATACTATTCTTTTAAGTGAAAAAAATAAAGTGATACAATTAAAAGATTTGATTTAACGAATTTTATCATGTCGAAATGATAATAAAAAATTTCTTAAAGTAGAATCATCCCTTTATTCAACTTCATTCAAATAACCTTCCTTTATTGAAATAAAAATTTTCTGATTAACACTATATAACTAATTCTCATTCTCATTTTAATGCAGCATCTACATTGTGCTCTATATCATTATAATGCTTTACTAATGCTTTACTAAATTTTCTAATATAGCGCTTAAGGCACGACCAAAATCAGAATATACAGACGCACCTCAAGTATTTGATGAAGTACAACCATCAACTTCACGTTCAATGGGAAATTTGATATCAGCAAGAAAAGAATTAACCACTCAGGAGGATTCAGTTGATTGGCATCGTGAGTCGGAAAATTATTTAACTGGTACGACAATGTTGTTTTGTCCTTAGTTAACCATAGTTAACCGTGCAAAAATTATTAAGGTAAAGTACTCAGTACTTGAACACTTATAAAAATGGGACCAGTACTTGAACACTTATAAAAATGGGACCAGTACTTGAACAGACTTTTCGAATTGTTGTAATACAAAATCCGTATATTTATTATGAGTAATGTGCACATGTTATAATTATTTAATGACGTAGTAATTGATTTCTCGAAGTTTTTTCAATTATAAATCAAACCAAATATATTTTTGTTAACTTAAAAGTTGACATGTCGAGAATAGCCAATAGATGCTATTTTTTTCATGAAAAAGGTACTAAACCGTGAACCGAACAATCAGTAAAAAAAGCGGTATATCATCATTTTAAGTAAAAAAAAATAATTGTACCACCCAATGAAATAGTCTTTTCTAAATAATACATATTTTTGCAAAGACATAAACTATAATTTTTATATTAAGTTTTAGCGTCTAACTATACCTCCAAATTTTCAAATAATTTTAACCGTATACTCTACCGGGCCGTATAATTTTAATAGCACTCTAACCTCTAATATATTTATAGATTAGAGATCAGCATTGTGATTTATATTAATTACTACAAATTAAATAAGTTTTATAGCTAAAATGAGTGTACCTAGTTAAAAATTATTGAACGTTTTGAATTGAGTTTTTTCGATTCATAAAAAATGTAATTAAAAAATTAAATACAAATATTTCTCATTTTTAAATGAACATATTAAATATTCATAGTATTATTTTCAATATTAATCAATAATATATTACAATTTTTCTGATATTCCAATAAAACGTTGAAAATTTTTGCTGTGCCTATTGCCATATATTTTATTAGTTCAACTACTGCTCCCGGAGTGTTCAACTACTGCGGCTTGTCAAAATTGATTGTTCAACTACTACTCCTTTTATAGGGCCAGTTTTTCAATCCGAGATAAAAGTACTGTCAATATAATAAAAAAATAATAAATAAATAAATAATTTAGTGACGTGATATTGCTCTCAGTTAATTCTCCATGAATTTGGTCATTTATTTAAATAAAAAATAAATATATCATAAAAATAATAATCTCTTGTTGTGTCATTTAAATTATTTTAAATTAATTAACACAATTATAAATTAATAATAGATATGTCAAACGCAAGATATGAGCTCGAAGAGCTCAAAAGCATAAAACAGTGACCGCTTTGAGCTCGGGGAGCTCAAAATAACACATAAATTGTAATTTGGAGCTCGAAGAGCTCGATAACGTTACATGTGCAATTTCAAGCGCTTAGATATGGAATTAGCGGGAAGTTGCAGGGATGGCCTTCAGGGTCATCCGTTTTCCTAATTTTCATTTTATTTATTTACAATCAGGAAGTTGTCACAGTTGAAGGTGAATATTTCTGTGACATGTGACTAATATTTATTTATTTTAACTCAAAATAAGTGACTGAATTCAAGGAGAATTACTCGTAGGCAATATCACTGTGCTGAATTATTTATTTTTTTATCATAATGACAGTACTTTTATCTCGGATAAAATTTTATCTCGGATTGAAAAACTGGCCCATAGTCTATCTTGAAAACGTTGTGAAAATATCCTTTATATTAAAATTG